TATCTATCTATCTATCTATCTATCTATCTATCTATCTATCTATCTATCTATCTATCTATCTATCTATCTATCTATCTATCTATCTCCATCCACTGCTGAAAAGCAAGGGGTCTTATTCATTCTTTCGATTTTTAGAAAACAAGGGTGGGTGTTATTGATTTGATTTTTATATCTTGCCTTGATTACTTTATAAATGGTTAGTTTGGCGTTCTCAAGATTTGCAGGCCAGGTCTCTGACCCAAATGGAAGAAAGCTTCCTTTCTTATCTTCTTTGTCTTTTCCTCCTACTTCTGTGCTTCCCTTTCTCAAATCAAAGGGCAAAAATTCTGCAGAAGGTCTGTGGGTTCATGTAAACCCCCTATTCGTGTGTCTTGTGCCTTTCTGAGAAAGCCATGATGATGGTGATGGTGATGGTGATAATGATGATGATTTATTAAAAAAAACAATGGTAGTACCAACAGTGACAGGATTGGATTGCCTTGAGTGCAATCCCAAAACATTGGGAGCACCACTTGAATACCTTTGGCATTGATAAATTCGCCGTCAGTAAATTGCAGAAGGCAGCTTTACTCACAACAGCTAGCATTCTGCAATGATACAGTACCTCTAAAACCATCAAACATCCAGACCTGCCTATCCCAGGTCCCTGGGAAGGACTCAAGAGGTGAAGAAAAAGGCCAAATCCAGTCTGAACATCTGGCTGACTGCAAGGAACACAATTTATTAAACATTAGCATGTTGAGGGAAAAAAAGGAAATGGTGACTCTGTTGTCATAGCTTTGACAGGACAGACTCTCAAATAACAAAGCCATCCCAGCCATGATAGCTGTCCTCTGTAAAAGATCTCCAGTTAAAGTATTAAAAGCTTTTTTAAAAAAATAATTCTATATGCTTAAATTGCAGGACAATGAATACAGTATTTCAAAGTGGAATTTTAAAGTTGTGGAGTTGTCTATCAAAACCTGAATGAGAATATTGTGTGATGATTGATGCTTGTGTCAAGGACTTGGGTAGTTGTCCTGTTCGTATTGTGTTCTCTCACGGTGTTCCTTGCTAAATTTTCTGATGGAGTTTTCGTGGGACTAATTTACCTGGCATTCTGTCTTTTCATACAGTTTTCAGGAAATTGGCCGAATGGAACTATGGACCCTTTGGACAAAATTAAAGTCCAACTGAAAAAATGGGAGACATCTTTTTTTCAGGAGCAGCAGAGGAAGCCCAGCAAGGTATTTGGAATGTAATTTAATATCAGATTATCATAGTTTTCAATGTTATATTGTTAGGCTAATGAAACCATTTTCAACACAACTGTAATCAAGCAGATTTCCAAAATTATTTCTTTGTGTTTGTTTTCCAGGCAGATGTCCTGGATGCTCCTGAAAAAATAAAAAGTAAGCATGATTCTTCTCTACAACACATTATAGTCCTGCGTATGGAGGTACAGTAGTAGATGTGATAAAATATCAGTTTCGATCAGTGGAAAGTGATAATTCTTTGCAAACATTTAAAATGCTATGTTTTGATCATTTTCTCATCAGAAAGTAGGTAAGGAAGGCAAGAAATCTGTATCTAAAACTTTTTCATTAGATGCTAATTGCAATTATTTTACAATACATTGATACTCATTTTAATTGCATTGCTATATATTTTGTCAAAATGACTTCTTCGTCTTTAACTTTTTACTATCAGGAAACAAAACGTGAATGGCATTGAGGGAGTAATAATATAATAGGACACTGTGATGACTAGCATCAAACAAACTGTTTTTCAGACAGTCCCTCTCAGCCGCAACATTGTCACAGATTTGGAAATGTGTTTTTTTTTCTTTATGGATTGAAGCTAAAGTTTCATTCATTTAGAAGAGGAATGTAGCTAAATCTTTCCTTCTCTACTTCTAGCAACTGTGACTTCAGTGAGTTGTAACTGAACAACACTTCAGTGGTTTAATAAGATTCTTCACTGTTTGGGGGTGTGCAAAACATTTTATTCCGAGGGTAACATTTCACAAACTTCCTGTCCCTTGCCCTCATGTTTTGAATGTGAAACTGTTTTTTGAGTGCAAAGTGAACAATTGGATAACCTACCTAAATAGCAATAGCAATAGCAGTAGACTTATATACCGCTTCATAGGGCTTTCAGCCCTCTCTAAGCGGTTT